CCTCAGCCTCCCAAATGCTGGGATGAGGGCCAGGAGTTTAGCTCAGTGGTTCCGCTGCCTGCTTTCCAAATGCTGGGATGATGCATGCACCACCGTGCCTGGCTGTACAGGGTGTTTTCAGAGATTTGTCGGGCTTCACTTGTTTTGCTGGGGTTGAAAACAGGATGTCCCAGCATGTGGGGGACAGGGCCTAGAGACCCTGGGCGTCCAGCCAGGCTCAGGCTGCCCCTCGCCCTCCACAGTTTCCAGCTGTGCTGCTGGAAGGATAAACTGATGGTTGAGGTGGTTCTGCGTGGTCTTAATACTTGGCAGATATTTCTGGATGCAACTCCCCGGTCAATGGAGGGAGAATCTCAGTGTAGGTAGAATCTAGTGCTGCGAGGTCAGCAGGTCATGCTGCTCCGGGCTGACCCCCGAGAGCTTTTGTCCTGCGCTCCATCCCCAGCCCTTTTGATTCTTTATATTCTTTTTTTTTTTGGTACCTAGGATCGAACTCGGGTCCTTGCTGTATTCTTTATTTGAGACAGGGTCTCTCTAAGTCACTAAATTGCACAGGCTGGGCTGGAACTTGTGATCCTCCTGCCTCAGCCTCCCAAGTAGCTGGCTTACAGGCATTCGCTGCAGTGCCCAGTTTGGGAAATTCTTTTTGAAAGAAAACATGTATTGAGCACCTACTGTGTGCCTGGCCGAAGCCGCTTACAAATCTCCATTTGTGTAATGCTTTTGTTTTATGTTTGTGTCACAGTTTGAGTCAAATCCAGACTTTTAATTCATGAGATGTGTTTATCATTTTTCTTTTTCTTTTTTTTGGTACCAGGGATTGAACTCGGGTCCTTAGCTTGCGAGGCAGGCAGTGGAACCACTGAGCTAAATCCCCGGCCCTGTTTATCATTTTTCAATGTGGTATAAAATCTATACAGCGAGGAGCATAAATTGGAAGTGCTCAGTTTAGTGAAATATAATTCACACACCATAAATTCACCATTTTATAGTGACTAGTAGAGTGGTCTACAAGACTGTGCAGCCATTGCCACTGTGTGGTCCAGGACATCCCATCATCCCAGAAGGAAGCCCCAGCCATCCTCGTGAGCAGTCACCCGTCCCTTCTCTCCCCAGCCCAATACTCACAAGTCTACTTCCTGTCTCTGGAGTCGCCTGTCCTGGGTGTTTCCTGTCCGTGGAGCCCATCCTGTGTCCTCTGTCTGACATCTGTCACTGAACCTGGTGTCCTCAAGGTCCATTCACACTTTGGCGAGTATCACAGCCTTGCTGTTTTTCCTGGCTGAGTAATACACCACTGCATGCATGGATGGACCATCTGCTCATGACGTCGAGCTCTTTCACTTCTCAGTCCCTATGAGTTAAGCCGCTAGAAACATTCACACCCAAGCATTTGTGTAAACGCATATTTTCTGCTGCCGTGGGTGCATCCTTAAAGGTAAAGTCCCAGGTTGTATAGATATAGCTGTGCATATCTTCTTTGGAGAAATGTTACATAGTTTTACTGAGATGTTATTAACATACTTACATCCACTGTACTGTTCTAAATTGTACACTTGGTTGGTTTTCAATGTCTTCAGCATTCAACCTCTATATAAACTCACGTCAAGACATAGAACATTAAAAAAAATACTGGTGGTGCAACCTGTCATCCCAGCACACAGGAGGCTGAGGCAGGAGGATGGCAGGTTCCAGCCCAGCCTGGGCAACTTAGTGACTCAGTGAGACCCTGTCTCAAAATAAAAAATAAAAAAGGCTGGGGATGGAGCTCAGTGCGAAGGCCTGGGTTCAATCTCCAGTTGCACGCACACACACAGAAGAACAGAACTTGGAATATTCCAGATTCCCTCTCCCCAGCCTCCCTCAGATTATGACTTTTGTTACCATCTATTACTTTGATTTAACCTGATTTTCTTTTTTTGTTCGTTCCTTCCTTCCTTCCTTTCCTCCCTCCCTCCCTCTTTCTCT